AGTGTTCAAAAATAAAATAATGGGTAAAATATATAAATAGTCCCTAAATTTTTAGAGCATTTGTGATTTGGTTACATAATTTTTCAAACTTATAATACAATCATCGAACATTTACTTCGCTTTCAATAAGATTCCTACCATCATTGTCCGTTAATTTTTACTGACATGACACTTATCTCCTCCTCCTCCTCCTCCTCCTCCTCCTCCTCCTCCTCCTCCTCCTCCTCCTCCTCCTCCTCCTCCTCCTCCTCCTCCGACAAACTATGCCATACTCTAGAATCAATAAGAACCTTAAAATTTTTAAGCATATCTAAATTCTTCAACTTTGCTTCAGTTGTTTTTTAGATTTCAGGGCTGATTCTATTTACTTGGATTTTCAATTAGATTATATGGATATGGTAATTAACTTAATTCATCAACTTTACTTCAGTTGTTCTTTAAAGCTTTAATTTTCAATTAATAATAACAACGTTGTTTTGGGTCTTTAAATTTATATTTACTCGCCATTATATAAGCAACCCCAGGTACAACTTATCACTGGTAGTTTACATTTTCCTGAGAAACAAACATAGAGAAAGTGAAGGAAAAAAAAGTTGATATAAAGTTAAAGCATTAATCCGACAGTACCCTATTTTTCATTTTCGTTTCTTTCCTGGATTTTATACAGTTCAAGGTAATGCTCTTTGTCCATCTCTCCTACATTGCTGACAAATGTTGTTTTTGTTTTGTTGATGAAATGTATGTTCTAAGCTTCTGGGAATTGCTTTTACTTAATGGTTTTGGCAGATCCGTAGCTCTTTATCTGATTTTCTTGATTGAATGAAATGATTTTTCCCCTTTGCACTGACATTTTGAAAAATGGGTTATCTCAACATGTGTTCTTGATTCTCAAAAATGGTGGTTGTTCATATATATTACATATATAGATGTAAATGTTTAGCTTATGAAATCTTAATTCAGTTTGTTTGACAGAGATGGGTGTTGGTTTCTCGTGGCCATTTGATAAATGCAGCAGCACTGAGATGGACAATGGCAGCTTAGAATCAATCACTATGAAATCCATTAGTTTTGAAGATGAAGGGATCAAAACACCACTTAGATCCATCAGTTTCAAAATCTCAAATTCAGAGCCCACCATTCTGAAATCATTAGGTTTTGGGAAGATGATTTTGGAAGGATCTGTTAGCTTCAAAGGGATAGATTTGGATAAGCCAGAGAGTTTAAAGACCAAAGCAATGGACATTCAATCCCCAGATTTGTTTTCCAGAATCCCCAAGAAAATCCCAGATTCTAGATCCAAACAACCCACAAATGGAGGCAGTAACGACAGTTACTTGTCATGTCAGCAACGGACGGTAACGACATAGACCTAACTAGAAACGAATTAAAAGTTTGATGATTGTATTACAAGTTTTAAAAGTTATATGACCAAACTGCAAATGCCCTAAAAGTTTAGGGACTATTTGTATACTTTACCCTAAAATAAAATTAACCGAGAGTGTCGATTCTTTATTTCAAACCGAATATGCTCAACGCTGCTTACACTTGAAGCTAGGGAAAATGGCTAAGATATTGTTGTCGGATTTTTTTTTAAATTCTCAGTATAGGTCACATTCTAAATTATTTTCCTATTTAGGGTGAAATCTACAGTAACAACATAAAGATTTCATGACTGCTTGGAGTCTTTAGGCCAAACTTAAAGACTTTAGGAGTGCACGACGTCTTCAGACTAAGGAGAAACAACCTACCTCTTTTTGCATGGCCTAAAGACCCGTGCACTCCTAGAGTCTTATCAATTGGCCTAAAGACGCCATGCACTTTTAGAGTCTTTAAGTTTGGCTTGAAGAAGTCATTCAGTCATAGAATCTTTGTGTTGTTACTGTAGATTTCACCTTAGATGGAGAAATAATCCTCGATTTACCTTATCTCGGGAATTTTTTCCCTACAACATCTCGGCAATTTTCCCCTCGAAGCTAACTTTTACAATGATAATTATATATAAAAAAGATTTACGATGATAAAGACACAAATTAAAAATAATAAATTTGTGGGTTCAATAGAAAATACATATGATTCTTTCAACACGATACATTAAATAAATATGAAGTTGGAGTTCCTGGCTTTTAGTGGTGCGTATGTATGTTTATATTTAGTTGCAGACCTTTAAGATCATGTTTAATAAGCACAACAAGAGAGGTTAATGATTTACCACTTTTGAACTCCCTTAACCTTTGACTTGAGGCCTACCATAACTCTTATTTATATTTAACTTTGACAAAGTTTCAGTTCATCACTAATCAATATATATATATATATTTAACTCCCTTAGACATCTAAGGTGAAACTTTTAGTTGTAACATTTTAAGATCGTTAGATATGTTAAAATAGATGGTTGAGATTATCTATTTGGTTTTTCAGTAAAATTTTTCTCAATTTTTATTGTTAATCTCATCCGTTTATTTTCACTCATCCAATTATCATAAAAAAGTGTAAAAATAGAAATTCTACACTAGATATAAATAAATCTTATCTCTCTCTTTATATAAATGAAATTAAATCTGTTGATACGATATTTAAATGATTGGATGAATAAAAATGAATAACAAAACTAATAATAAAAATAGTGTAAGTTCCATGTCCTTGTTTAGTTTTTTTTTTTTTTTTGTAATGAGTGAGTGGCAACTTTTTCTTCAAATAAGACATTGCTTATCCACTCCTCCTTCCTTGGGGTTTATTTGTTTCATATATAAAATTGATTGAAAACAATATTGCATGTTCTTTTTGGCTAATTGGATTGTGTAAAGGAATGATAATATCAAAGTTTAACTGCAATGGGGTAGCAGTTTAGCTCATTATTTTAAATTTAAGACCGTTTATTATCTTATTTTATGCATGCCTCAAATGGGATATCCTCAATTTGTCATCATGTTTTGAAATCTCATGTATGAGGAATCCTAGGGGGTAAAAACGATATAATCTTTCCATGGAAACAATATATATATATATATATATATATATATATATATGATTTAATTACACAATGTGATTTTTTTCTAAATTTTAAATAAGTTTAGTATTGTCGGATGAGTGAAAATAGACAATTGAAATTAACTTTTTTAGTGAATATTTTCTTATTTTATATTATTAATCTCATTCGTCTATTTTCATTCATCTAACGACCTTAAATTTATGTAAAACTAAAAAGTTTTACACTGCATAATTAGATTATATATCATATATATATGTGATCATCGAATGAGCTAAAATAGATGACTGAGAGAATTAGGAAATAAGAATATATTAATTAGAAAAAAACAATAAGTTAACATTGATTATCTATTTTCAATCATCTAAAAATCCTAAATTTATATAAAACTAAAATAATTTTACATTATTCAAATAGATACTAATATATATATAACAAAGCTGGGATTCTATTTGTAGCTCAAATTTTAAGACAAAAAATACAGAAACCCATTTTAGTATACTTTCATGTCTATGTTTTTATAATAAAAACACCCAAAAAAAAAACACCTAGTCAGACAGCAGTTCCATATTTATGTTTCGTCATGACCGTCCTTTTCTGTTCTTTTTATTTATTTTCTGCATAAAACTATTTATGACAGCTTTATTACTCTGCATGACGATTGCTTTTAGGGTCCATTCCTACGTCTAAAACCATCTAATTGGATTTCAAACAGCCTGATATTTAGGGAAGAATTTGAAAGATTGCATAAGCTATGATGTGTACGAAATTTGTGTCACTATCTTGCCATAATTTTTTTTATTAATTTAGATAAGTATAAAGGTAATATTTGTTTTAAGATAACATTTAAATTTTTTATATTGAACGCTCACACCCTTAATATTTATGAGTTGCTGCAAGCTAAACTCCGTGAAACTCCATCATGTGTTTTCTCACATTTTCTCTCATTCATTGTATTTGATTGCAATTTTTACATGGTTAGAGTCTCGCTTTAAATTTAATGTGACACAAATTAATTAAGAGATAATTAAAAAAAAGTTAAAACCTAATTTGATTAGGATTTATTATTATTATTATTATTATTTTGTAAAAAATCTACTCTAAATAGATTTTTACTTTATAAATTTTCTTTGTAATCAAATATTCAACTTTATAAATAAATACCATGGGCTAGAGTTAGAAGTTAAGTTGTTTTCTCTGAATCCTCTTATATTCCTATTTTTTCTATATTAGTTAAAAAATTTCTTTCTCTTTATAATCTGGTATATATTTTATTGGGTGATAACCATGCTTGTTGTTATCATCTAACACACTAATAAAATTCACAATAACATATTCTTTTAAAGTTTTATAACTTGAACCATATCTTTGATATCACTTGTTAAGAATTTGTAAGTAAATATAATCAAAGTAATATCAACACAAAATAAAACATGTACAAATGCGAAATTTAACATGGTTCATATTTGTTTATCTCAACAAATGAGAAAAATAATAATTCACTATAAACGTAGAAATCACAAAGGGTACAAATATATGATATCTAATGTATCCTAAAATTTAATATCTATATTAGAATTTAGAGTAACCCAATTCATCAGAATGAAAATAAAATTTAACTTAATTTATAATTAAAATTTGAGGTAATACATAAAAAACCCCAAAACTAAAAAGGTAGTATCGAGACCGAATTAAACCATCAGGTAAAAATTTTGCACAGAGATTTGTTAGAATATACAATGAAGTACTGAAAAATAAGTTTAGTGAAAAGTAAAGAAGATAAAGAAAGTCTTTGAAAGAGATTTATTATCATGAAAACAAGCCTACCCTTTACTAATCAGAGAGTAGATATTTATACAGAAGAAGAAAGCCAGGGAAGTTGAGAACTAACATAAAACCCTTACAATTTTTTACAAACTCACAACTAACTCATGCAGAACGCAAGGCCTCACTATAATACACATTAGTAGTAAACCAATATTATACTCTAACATTCCCCCTACACCTGAAACTTCTAATCTTCAACATTCTCCATACTTTGAGACCCTAAAAATTGAACATCCCTGCACTTGAGCCGAGTGAGCTGTAACTTATGTCGATGTATAAGGAACAAGGGTGCAGATAATGGTTTGGTCATTACATCAGCGACCTGCTCAAACGTAGGCACCTCTTGAACTTGAAGCTTGCTAGCAATAACCATCTCACGAACAAAGAATAAGTCGAGCTCCACATGCTTAAATTTCAAATGGAGATGTAACGACACTCGAGTTTGTCACACAATAGAGTGGGCGTACCATGCAGAGAGACATGCAACTCGTGAAGAAGAGATTTAAGCCAAACCAACTCAACAGTAGCACAGACAACGCTGCGATACTCAGCCTCGGCAGTAGAACGAGCAACAACCTGTTGCTTATGAGAGCTCCATGAAATAAGGTTCCCCCAAAATATATACAAAACCAGAAGTAGAATGCCTATCATCGGTATCAGATCCTCAATTTGTATCCGTAAACCCAGTTAATGACAGTCTAGAAGAAGATGAAAATCGTAAACCAAGATCAATAGTTCCATGTAAATATTGCAAGATCCATTTTACTGCCTAAAAATGACTGTCATGAGGAGCTTGTATGAATTGACAACCCTGATTAACTGCAAAAGCTATGTCAGGCCGAGTAATTACGATATATTATAAACCACCAACGATGCTTTGATAATACGCAAAATATTCAAAAGGAGTACATTCTTTGACAGAAAGTTTTCTATTAGTCACCATGGGAGTATGAATCCCTTTCGCATCTTCAAGACCACTCATTTGTAAAAGTTCACGCACATACTTCTGTTGAGTTAAGGTAATACCTATGGAGTCATGACACACTTCTATCCCCAAGAAGAAGCTGAGAACTCCAAGATCCTTCAAAGCAAATTGTTTATTCAACTTGTCAATAATAGTTTGAACTTTAATCTCACTACTCCCAGTGAGAATTATGTCATCAACATACACTAACAAATAGAGTATATTGTTAGCAGTTTTTCTAACGAAGAGAGAAGAATCAGATTTTTCCAAAAGAAACTTTTCAGACACCGAATACGCTCTAAGTCTCTCAAACCAGGCATGAGGAGCCTGCTTCAGGTCATAAATCGCCTTGTTGAGCTTGCACACAAGATTTACATCACCCTGTTCATAACTTGGAGGTTGTGTCATATACACCTCCTCAGTCAGAATGCCATTAAAAATGTGTTGTTGATGTTCACTTGCTTCAACAACAACCCTTTCGATAAAGCAAGGGAAAAATAACTCCAATAGTTTGTGGTTTTATCACAGGGCTAAAACTTAATGATAGTCAATTCTAGGTTGTTGAAGAAACCCTTTAGCAATAAGGCACACCTTGTATCTCGCTACAGATCCATCTGTAGTCCTCTTCGTCTTGAAGAGTGATAAATGCTTAATTTAGTTAATATTTTACTTTTAAATTACTCCTTAATCATTGGTTTTAAGGCTTATTTGTTTGTTTTGATTCATTTTCTGTGCAGGACGTCAGATTCTATAAATTGCACTAAAAGGAAAAAATTTTGTAGTTTTTTTTTTGAATCAAAGCTGAATTAGTGGGCATGAATTCGGACATGAAACATCTGACGAGGTGATGACGTCAACACCTTCTAGAAGATCCAGTCAGCGTTTCTAGAAGCACAAATAGATTGGCAGCACGTTTCTAGAATTTGGATTAAACTCAAGTTTTAGGATAATATTTTAAGCATTATATTTTATCTTTGTTTTAGGTATTTTAGTTTAAATAGGTTGTAGTATTTTAATTAGGATTTATGATATTATTTTAAATATTATTTTTGTTTTAGGTATTTTATTTTAAATAGTTTTAAGTGTTTTAATTAGGATCTAAGATGTTTTAGCTTGTTTTTAGGAATTTGAAGGCTATAAATAAAATCTCAGGGTAAGCCTAGAAACATATCTCTCTCATCTGAGAATAAAATCTTCTTTTTCTCTCTAGTTTTCTCTCTATATTTCGCATACTTCCTTTATTTCCCTTTAAAATGTTGTTTTCAAATATGCTAAGTATGACTTTGGTCATGCTTAGCTAATTTTTTTAAGCTGAGGGCTAAAGCGAATGGTCAATTCCAAATGTGAGAATTGTAAGGTACTTAAATCTCTTCGGATTTCTCTCTCTGTTTTTTGAGCTTACTTTTCAAATTAAAATGATTTCGACATTGGTCCGGATGCTGTTATAGTTAACGTTTGAAGAAGGATTTGCTTATTGAAACATATTCAACTTCTCGAGAACACACTTAGCAAAATTGTTTGCAAAGAGGAAACTACGATCGGAATCAGTTATTGTCGAAACAACACAAACCGAGTTGGCAAGTAAAGAATTATCTTTGTAAGCCGACGTGATTCTTGAAGTAAAAATCTGTTTCGATGATCCGAGGAATTTGAGGCAAAGCTGAAGTCTGAGGCTGCTTCCACAATAAATTTTCTTTATCCCAATTTAATTATTTTATTTTATTTTTAATTTAGTATACTTCTTTAAATAATTTAAAATCCCCTTTTTATATTTATTAATATTTATTATTTTATTATTTTTCCTTTTTAAATTATAATTATTTATTTTATTATACATTTTTAACTTTACCTGGAATTCAATATTTTCCTAAAATCAAGAAACAATTTTACTAAATCATAAAAATCATTGTCCCTGTGGATCGATCATACTTCTCTATACTACCTTTTCCTTTCTATTTAATTAAGAAGCTCGAATTATTTTGATAATGAAACGACGATTATCAAATTGGTGCCGTTGTCGGGGACTAACAGAAGTACTGATTTATTTTTCTAGTTTTTGATTTATGAATAGAAGAAACTCAGGTGAATTAGTAGATCTAGATCCAGAGATCGAAGCACGAGTACGAAGAATCCACGCACAAACACTTCTAGAAAACAGAAAAAGACAAGAAAAACAAGAGCAGCGTTCAGAAACAGAATCAAATCCAGAGATAGACTCTGAAGCAGATGCATACAATATCCCGATGGCTGAAGGAGAACAAAGAATCCGAGAGCTAGCCACAACTCATGTCACTCAGACGCCATTATGCATCAATTTTCCTAGTGGCAGGACTTCGTTTCAATTAAAGATGAGACTCAATCATCTTCTTCCCACCTTCCATGACTTTCCCACTGAAGATCCGTACAAATATTTGTTGGAATTCCACATGGTTTGCACTAGCATGAAACCACAGGGAGTCACCGAAGATTAAATTAAATTGAGAGCTTTCCTTTTCTGTTTAGCCGACTTGGCTAAAGATTAGTTATTTTATTTACCTCCAAATTCAGTTAATTCATGGGTTGACATGAATCGAATTTTTCTTGACATGTTCTTTCCAGCGACTAAAACAAGTGAGTTACGAAGGAGCATTCTTTCCATTCAATAAAAGATCGAAGAAAGTCTTTATGACTATTGAGAACAATTTAAAAAACTTTACGCACATTGTCCGTAACACGGATTAAGTGAGCAAACGTTACTCCAATACTTTTATGAAGGCCTTTTACCAATGGAGATGAAAATGGTGGATGCCGCCAAAGGAGGAGTGTTAATCAACATGACCCCAACAATAGCAAGGGTATTGATTTCAACCATGGCAACAAACACTTAACAGTTTTCAAGTGAACCCAACCGATGGGTTCATGAGATAAATACTTTTTCCCTTGAGAATATGTTAGACAAATTAACTGAATTAGTTAATTCACTTGTTCCAGGAAAATATGGAGAAACAAGAGCATGTGGGATATGTACAAAGTTAGACCATCCGACAGATTGTTGCGTGCTGATACAAGAAGGGGACATTGTAGAAATAAATGCCGTAGAAAACTTTTAAGGACCTCCAAAAGGACAATACAACACATACAACAATACTTTTAAGGAACTCCTCAACACAACGCAAAAATCATCATTGGAGGAACTCATAGGAAAGTTAGCAATCTCACAAGAAAAGTTTATTGCATCCCAGGAAAAATTCCAAAGCCAAACCGAAACAAATCTTCAAGAGTTAGATAACCAAGTAAGCTGACTAGCTTAAACTATGGGAAAATTAGAATCACAAGGAAGATTACCTTCTCAAACGGAGTTAACTTTGAGAGAGAATGTTAGTACCATCACACTCAGAAGTGGAAAAGTTATGTCACCCGAAGTTCCAGTAGAAAAATACGCATATCAGGAAGAATAAGAGAAAATGCCACCTCTAGAAATACAAGACATGTCTGACTCACATCCTTCTCTTTCTTCTCATGAAATCACGCCACCACCCTTCCCATCAAGGTTGATGGAGCGTGATAAAAGAGCTGCATAAAAGAAGATCTTAAAGGTGTTCCAAAAAGTTCAAGTAAATATACCTCTTCTTGAAGTAATTCGACAAGTACCAAGGTATGCTCGATTTTTAAAAGAACTTTACACTAAAGAGAAAATTAATTGGGAACAAAAAGGTAAATTTGGGAGAACATGTATCTGCAATTTTTCAACGAAAGCTTCCGCCAAAGATGATGAATCAAGGTATTTTCGCTATACCTTGCAAAATAGGTGAATTTAAAATTAAACGTGCAATGCGTGTCTTAGGATCTTCAATTAATGTTATGCTATTTTCTATATATAAAATGATTACTAACGAGCCTTTGGAGAAAACAGGAATAAACATACAGTTGGCTGATCGATCTGTGATCTATCCAGTGGGAGTAATGAAAATGTCTTAGTGAAGGTCGATGTATTATTTTTTCGTGCAGATTTCTATGTCATTGACATGGAACATGATAGGTCAAATTCTTATTCCGAGGTACTCTTAGGCCTACCCTTCCTAAGCACAGTAGATACATAGATTGATGTTAAAAGTGGTATGATGACAATGGAATTTGATGGTGAGATCGTTGATTTTGATGTTTACAAAGCAATGAAATACCCTGATCATGTTGAAAAAATTAATTCTGTTGATGTTATAAATCCTTTAATTGATGATATATTGAATATAATTTCTCTTATGATCTTTCCAAGGATCCTGAACTTTGCCACGAAAAGGAAGAAAGAGAGTTTAAAATATTAATTCAATCAATTCTGATTTATCTTTATCTTCCTCTAAAACTAAAATTTTACCTTCTATTTGTAGGCACATGAGGTAGAATTGAACAAATTACCAGAACATTTGAAGTATACCTTTTTGGGAGAAAATGGAACCTTACTGACGCCAGACAGAATAGTGATTATCCTGTAGGCTAGCTCCGACAGACGATTCACAAGAGAAAATTCGCCCAAAAACCAGAGAAAAAAGTCTCTAGGGTTTAATAAATATTATAAAATAAAATCAATAACTATCTCAAAAGCAGTCCACAAGCCGGACTGTTATAGCAAAAAAAATCGTCTTTATTCGAATTTTGCCAAAAATAGCACAAATCGTATTTATTCGAATTTTGCCAAAATAGCAAATCCCGAAAATCACTCTAAATTGAAATTCGAAATAAAATAAGCAATCTCCCAAAAATCCGGTCTAAATCGGATTTAAATTGACTTCCTAATTAACAATCGAAATATTACCATAAATAGTAAAAATAACTAAATCTAGTGATTCGGAGGGGAAAACGGCAGAATTTGAGGTTGAAAAAAGGACCACATGGAGCGTAGCTCGATGTGGAGAGCGTGCGCGTCGAAAATAGCTTTCCGGATTGGGGTCTTATGCGCGATTCTGACACCTGTAGCCAAAGTTATGGCCAAAAGACTGAAACATACTCAAACGACCCAATAAGGAACATGTCACAATCAATTCCCACCTTTGCGCTGATCTGCCAACTCATGGTATCTCAGCGCCATCAACGTGCAATCTGACAACTCAGCATCATCTGTCTCGGATCCCCCTGCATCACTTACCAGTAATCATCTCAAGTAAAGGAGAAGAGGAAGCTTTGGTAGCTATGTTGTGCTCTCACAAAGAAGCTATAGGATGGACCATTGCCGACATTAAATTATTAAGTCCCTCGACTTGCATGTACAAGATCAAAGTTGAAGAAGGAGGCACTAGTAAAAAAAACCCCTTTAATGACGCACATTGCATGATCTATGGGTGCGGATGACACACATTTGCCTGTCGTTGAAGCCACCGACATGAATTTAAGATGACGCGTAATTGTGCGTCATAAATTTATGACACGCATTTATGACACACATTTATGACGCGCATTTATGGCGTTCATTGAGCGTCATTGAAGCCCCCGTCATAAATTAAGATGACACACATTTGTGTGTCATAAATTTATGACACGCGTGTATGACTTACATTGCGTGTCATTGAAGCACACGCCATTAAAAATAGACACGCATTCGTGTGTCGTGATTGTATTTCATAAATTATTGTTATATATATATATATATATATTGTAAATCGACAAATAATCAAACTAAATCACATTTAATGCCTCATAATACTAAATATATATATATTAATATAAGCAATCCATTTGCATACAATATATTCGCATTAAGTTACAAACATAATATCCATCAACTATGGATATTTGAAAACAAAAAACCAAGAATGTTCTCAGATTATCACAAGAAGATACTAACATGTTATAAGATCTTAGATGCAACTCCTCTAGCTTCTTCTGCAATTTTGAAGTTGCTTCTTCAGAGTCGAGAACTCTTAAAACAGGCTGCGAATGAGCATTGGCTTCAACTGAACTAGTAGGAACATCAGATGCACCAGCTATTCCCGAACCTTTCCCAAAATTAGAGCTGATCACCTTTGGTTTCCACTCTTTATTTGAACCAACTGCTGATGACATATAGGACTTAATACTTTTCATATATTAATCAAGCATCAACTATCTTCAGTTGAGAACATAAAGTAGTCCAAACATTTGTAAAGAGCAAACATTTTCATTTATGGTTATCAAGTCATCACTCATCACTAAGTAATATGAAAAGAACGAAAAATCAAGTAAATTTATGGTAAAGGTATCTTAAGCTTTAAAAGCTTTACTTTTCATTTCTCATAGTTACACTGTTATTTAAGGGGATAAGTCTATTTACATATGGGCAATTCACCCATCCTTCTCGGTTATAATGATTATTTTCATTCAAACTTGCTACTGAATTCTATTTGCTCAGAGGAAAAGGTGATTGATATCCATTTACCAAAATTAGTTATAGATTCCAATGATTATAAGGAGTAACATAGTGGGTCTGAACTCTAAACATCCTTAATCAATCAAACAAAGGAGGGCATTGAACTAAACTTTCCTGGTTTAAGTGAATTTAGATAAATCCCATCTCTAACAAATAACGCACATATCTTGATATCTAGGTTAGATCGAGATAACTTAAGCATCCATGTACAGTCCAGCAAAAAGCCAAAAATCAGTTTTTTTTTGTGTATCAGAAGGATTATAGCACAAAATCCACAATATTTCTCTGGATTTACCCAATTAAGGCATAAAACCAATAAAACACCATCTAAGTTTCATAAGCAATTACCAATATATAGAAAAGTTACAAAACATCATTGATTTGGAAACTGAAAAGTTAAATAATCCATTTTACCTGCAGGTTTCTTTGATTTGGATCCAATAAATCTGTTATTTTCTCATTGTATAACTACAAAAGAAAATTGAAATGAAGTGATAAGGAACAAGAATAGTACAACGCTAAGCAGTCCAATTATGCCAAAACTAAGAATCAAAATAATTCAATTATGTTTATCAGCATGCTTAATTCACAACTTCTAAACGGGAAATATAGTACAACTCAAATACCCACCTTGGCACATAGAACTCCAATTATAATCCCTCTAGGTGGGAAAGAGGACAATAATGCATAAAGTATGGAAACATGAATTACTCAATCGCACTGATTTAGCAATTAGATTACTAAATTACATATTGATCAACTAGTAACCACAGAAGTCACATACAAGTTAAATGTCCTCGGGAATAGACTATTAATAGTAATTTAACTTTGAAATAGGCTGCGATACTATATGCATGAAAAATAGAATACACAAAGGATATCATAAAGGCAAAAACAAGAAATTCATATATCAGTTAAAGGCATAGCAGCAGATCCCCAAA